TATATACCACATTGTATAAAGTATTATACATAATAAAAATGAAAATAATCCTAAACTATTTTACTAATTTGAGCCATACCAATCAAAGGATTATTTTACTGAACTACAAAAAATAATTTTTAAAAACTGACTCAAAAGAACAAAAGTCAAGAATTTGAAGGACAATAATTTTTAAAAATGGAAAGGAAGAAAGCCTAACAGTATCAGAGTTCAAACTATACTACAAATCAGCAATCAGCAAAATAATTTTGTTTAAATTATTTTAATAAAATTAAATGATTTTGGTTAAAAAAGAAAAATTGATCAGTGGTACAGATTAGATAAAAAAACATAAAAAAGTAAATTAACATAGTGCCCTAGAGTTCAATAAACCTAAAGACCCTAACTATTGGGGTAAGGACTCACTACACGACAAAAACTGCTGGGATAACTAGACAAAGGGCTGGCAGAAAATAGGTTTAGACCAACACCTCCATCAGATACTAACATAAGCTCCAAATGGCATAAATAAATATAGATATATAGATACACACACACGTATATGTGTATAGATATGTGTGTGAGGGTGTGTGTATGTATATATATTTTTATATATATACATATGTGTATAATATATATATATATATATATAAAAAGTTACAACATCATAAGTAAATTATAGGGACAAGAAAGAAACGGCCTACGGGATCTCCGGACGGGGGAAGAGTTCATAACCAAATAAAAGAGGATCACTGAAGGTAAAATGGACAATTTTGAGTACATAAAATTTAAAAGTTTTGACACACAGAAAATTAATGCAAATAGGATTAGAAGGAGGGGTTTATGGGGAATCTTTGTAGCAAGTTTCTCTGACAAAGGTCTCATTTCTATGCCATATAAGGAACTAATTCAAACGTTAAAGAATAAGACCCTTTTCCCAACCAATAAATGGTCAAAAGATCTGAATAAGCAGTTTTAAGGGAAAAAATCCAAGCCATAAGCAGTCATATAAAAATGCTCCAAATCACCAATAAATCAGAGAAATATAAAACAACTGAGTTTCTAAAGCTGGCAAAAAAACAAAAATGACAAATGCCGGAGAGGCTGTGGGAAATAAAAACATCAATGCACAGTACATAGAGTTGTGAACTAGTCCAGCCATTCTGCCAAGCAATTTGGAATGATGCCCCTTAACCTAATAAACTGTGCATACCCTCAGACCCAGTGATATTGCTACTAGGTCTCTAACACAATGAGATCAAAGAGAACACACTGTATACAAAAATGTTAATAGTAGTTCTGTTTGTGATGGCAAAGAACTACACACTGAGAGGGTGTTTCATCAAAGAAAGAATGAATCGACACATGTACTGTTTGTAAACAGGATACTACTGTACTGTAAGATATCTTAAAGGGGACATTTTCAGAAAAATCTGAGAATAACAACAAGCATTTCTACAGCACTACAGTGTTTATAAAGCACTGTACATATGTTCTCTCATTTGATTTTCACAAGAATCCTGGGAAGTAGGTGCTATTATTACAATTTTACAGATGAAAAAAACTGAGACTGAAAGAGGGTTAAGTGACTTCCCTAGGGTCACACAACTGGCAAGTATCTGGAGCAGAATTTGAATTCAGGTCTCCTAACTCCAAGTATAGCTATCTCCTATGGGCACCACCTAGTTGCCTCACTTGAATTGAGTGTAAACAATACTGCAAAGACAACTTTGAAAAACTTGGGAACTTTGATGAACAAATAGAATTCCAAAGGACCCTGCGTGACCTCCTGACAGAGGGATGGACTCAGGGTGCAGACAGAGATGTTATTTTTTGGATGCAGGCAATGCAGGAATTTGTTTTGCTTTTGACTATGCATATTTCTTATAAAGGTTTTGTTTTTCTTTTAGGGGGATTATGGGTGGGTGTGGGGAATAAGAGAAGAAGGAAAGAAGGTGCATTTTTGTTAAGCAAAAAATTAAAATTTAATTTTAAAAAATGTCACTTGAATTTTTCACCTTTATGCCATGACTAAATGTGAATTCTCAAAGCCCTATAATTATTGTTGCTGACTTTTAATAACAATCTTTGTTGTTATTATAGTTGTTACTAAAACCCTGTAATTACAAGGAGCTTTACAGACTACCATGCACTTTCAAATCTGTCGTCCCATCTCTAAGTCCAAAACAATCTTTGTGAACTAAGCACTATGTAAGCATATTGCTAAGATCATAAATTTTGAGTCGAAAGATCCCTGAGAGGTTGTCCAGACCAGCGGTATCAAACTCAAATAGAAATAGCACCACTAAACTCTACATAAGGATGCCTCCTGCCATATACTGAGCTAGAAAATTACACGTGAACATTTTCTATTTTCTATTGTATTTTTACTTATTTTGTTAAATATTTCCTAATTACATTTTAATCTGGCTCACACAATAATGCGGCTGCTTGACCAACACCTGTGATCTATACCAACCCCCTATTTCTTTCCATTCATTGCACACATGCCCATTTTACAGATGAGAAACTAGAAGTTCAGAGAGAAATCACCTGCCCCAATTCAAATAGTAGACAACAGTAAAGCTATACCTAGACCCCAGGTTTTCTTTTTCCCAGTCCAGTGTTTCATTAACTACATGTTCTTCCACTCTTATAAAACCAACTGAAATGACTGTGTCAGTTTCATTCTTGATAAGGCAACATAAGTAGTTGCAGAAGAGCTAGGTGATAGTACATAGAAAGTAGGACTCAAGAGTTAGGAAGACCTGAGTTTGAATACTGCTTCCAAACCTTTAGCTGTGTGACCCTGGGCAAATCACTTAAACCTCTCTTTGCCTCAGTTTCCTCATCTGTAAAATAGTGATAATAGCACTTACCTCCTAAGGCAGTTGTTAGGTTGAAATGAGACAACAAAAGTGCTATATAAATGCTAGTTAAGAGGAAGAAGAGAAGAAGCAGCAGCAGCAGCAGCAATAGTAGTAATGATCATTTTAAACTGTTATTTCTTTCAGGATCCACAGGACATAAAATTCAATACACAAGAAGAAGCCACAAAAATTCACAGTTCAATTTCTTTCTAAAAGTGATCCCAAAAGCAGAATTAGAATTATTAACACAGTCTAACCTTTCCTTGATTCTTTACCTTATCTTCAAACCTTTCCAGTCTTCTTCCCCTTCTCTGCTCTCTACACCCTCTACAATCCCCATCACTGGGCTACTTGCGGTTTCTGGGGTATATAACACTCCATCTCTATATGCTTTGCACTGGCTGCTCCTTATGCCTGGAATGGTCTTCCCCCACCTCTTATTTGGCCTGAGCTCCCTTCAAATCTCACTTTACGTCCCACCTTATTTAGAAAAACTTTCCTTCCCGACTCCCCTCTTCCTCCATTGCTAATACTGTCTCTGCTCAGACTGTCTTCCACCTACTCAGTGTATACCTAGTTATCTGCTTGTTATTTCCCCATTAGAATGTAAGCTCCTTTAGGATAGGAAATATTTCTACTCTACTTTGCATCCAGTGTCCATAGCACAATTCCTTACACACAGAAAATGTCTAATAAATGCCTGCTGAAAGCATGGCCCTAAAGAAAAGACACGATAAGACATCCTCCTCCCACTCCTCCACACGTAGAGGCAGGAGGTCCCCGAGTGTGGAATACTGCACTTATTTTCATACTTTTTCAATGTACTGGTCAATTTTGTTGATTTTTCCCTTCTTCCTCCTTTTCTTTTTTTTCTATAAAAATATTGTTTGTTATATGAGATTGATGGAGTCTAGCCACTACCCCAGCCCCAGTCTAGCCACTGTCCCCACTCTCAATATCTCAGCTTCCTCACAGGCCTCAAAGCTTCACTAGAACAGCAGGTATGTCAACCACATCCATCAAGTCTCAGACAGGACCTCGATAGCCAGCCAATCATTTTGCCCCAGACAAGACTGCAACAGCCAACCAATCAGAAAGCAGCACCAATAAATAGGACACGGACCAGTATGTTTGACCATTAAATCACAGCCTGAGTGGATTCCTATGCAGTAATAGCAAAGAAGTATCTTAAGGTGAACTTATGACGTAGAGAGGCTTATTATAACATTATAAAAGCCCCTCCAAGGGGGCTTTTCTGTATGCAATCTGTGTAACTGCACGCACAGCTCCACCAAGGCAAGAACCCCTCCCGTATCAATAAACTCCTCCTATATTTAAATATTCATATATTCTATAATGATGTAATTGCATCTTTTGCTCTATAAAAATCCCTGTCTTGCTCTGCTAAGCTGCTGGTTCCTTCTTGAAGCCCAGTCTGCTTCTGAAAGGTGTAATTCTTAATGACTGACCTTGCTTGGGTTGAAAATGGTGTGAGTCTGTGAATTCTTTCAAGATGACCTCCACAACACAACATGAAACCAAAACAAGATGACCTCTGGGAGAGGGGGAAGAAGATATATTCTGGGAGCAATTTTGGTAATGTAAAAACAAAAGATATCAATAAAATTTATTTTTTAAAAATAGGTGATTGTTGACTATGGGAGGACAAATCAAACCACGCAAGGGAGATGATCTATAAGCACTATTTTTAAGGACCAGTGCAATAAGTCTGGGTTAAAGATAAATATCAACTAACATTCATAATGAAAAACGTAAGAGTTACTATTGTTCAAGCAACCTACCTTAAGCAATATTCCTTTAATTCATGAAATGAGAACTGCTATCAATTAAATTAAAAATTATAAGAGTCTAAGATTGAAAATGGTAAAGTACCTAGAGAACATCTAGTCTAATTTCTTCATCATACACATAAGGAAACAAAACCTAGAGGAGCAAAATTATTTGCCTCAAGTCACAAAGTAATAATCCAAAACTCAAAGCTGATTCTCTGACCCCAAATCACTAGCTCACAGGTGCCTCTCAACATGTGCCAAAAGGACAAACTCCTACATAAACATGCTTGTAGGGAATGATATGAGAAAAGAATGGGATGTAACAGTCCATGGCTTCCAAATACATGGCTTCCTTTACCTTTATATATCTTTTCATTATTGCACAAGTGAAGTGTGAAGTAGGTATCAAGGAGTCGGTGGCCATTCCTATTAACAATGTTCCGAGCAGCAATATTCCGGAGATGTCGAAGACGACGCTAAAAAAAAATGGGGAAAAAAAAAGGTCATTTAGTTTTCTCCCTACAGAAAATTTTCTGGAAATCTTATTTTTCATTACCTCTAAGTCTAATAGGTTATGCTGTTTATTCATTTATTTTCAAAGACCATGGGTAAATCATTTTATTTCTTTTTGCTTCAATTCTCTAATTTGTCCAGTAAGATTAATAACACCTCACCCATCTACCTTACAGGATCAGTATGAGAAGGAAATAACATGGATATGAACAAAATTCCAAAAAAGCATAAAGTACTGTAAAAATACAGGGAATTACTATTATTTTCCCCAGCATCTAACACAATGCTTTGCAAATAGCTGGTACTTAATAAATGCCTGCAAAATTAAATTAAATTCCCTAAAAAGTAACACTTCCCCCCCACAAGAAAGTACGCTAAAGAAAATCCATCTGAAATGGAGGAAAGGGGACTGCAGTCATCACATACATCCCACACCGTTTTCAGATGTTTGGAAGCTTCTCTGTGCAATCAGAGATAAGAAAAGAAGAGCCAAAAATAGTAGGAGCTCACAGGCTATTCCATCCAACAATGATTCCAGCTGTTGAGAGAATTCAATGTAAATGGTATTTCACCCACATCCATCCAGTTTCTACAGCCTTGGTCAAACCTCCACCCCCAATCCTGGCTCTCCTCTCCTACAGTGCTTCCAGTGGTGGCTCCAATAGTGGGGCATGTATTGTTTTGAATCACTGATGCTGGCAATTCAAAAGTTATATAAACAGTGATATAAGCGAGTCAATAAGAACGTAAGATAAACTGAAAGAGGAACCAGATAATCTCAAATCAAGCACCTACTATGTGCCAGGTGGTGTGTTAATGCTGGGGATACAAAGAAAAGCAAAACTAACTCGCCCACCAAGGAGCTCACAGTCCAACAGGGAAGACAACATGCAAAAAACTATTTATCAACAAGCTAGGATAAACTGCATAGAAAGGACAAATTGGAGACAATCTCAGAGGGAAGGCACTAGCATTAAGGAGGACTAAGAAAGGTTTCTTTCACAAGGTGGAATTTTAGCTGTATATGAAGGACATCAAGGTAGCCAGGAGCTAGATATGAGGAAGGAAAGCATTCCTGGCATGGGATACAGCCAATGAAAACGCATAGTCAGGAGACAGAGTGTTGGTGGAACAGCAAGAGACCAGTGTCATGGATCACAGAATACATGGAAGAAGTAAGGTCTAAAAAGACTGAAAAGGTACGAAGGGGACCGGTTCTAAAGAGCTAACTCTAAAACCCAGACAATTTTATATCTTACAGATTTTTAAACTCACAGAAAAAGAAACAAATAATGCCAATATTAAAGTTTCCATACCCTTATATACAGGCATGCTAGCCTCACCCTGGCAAGATAAGATTTTTTTTTTTAATGGCAGCTAATTCAGTCATAAGGCCTTGCCTGTAGGAACCAACTGCTCAGCCCTAAAACATGCTCTCTCTTTCTTCAGGCTAACATCTATAAATCTGCTGTGTCAGGAATACTAATAAATGCATATAAATGCAATACAACAAGCATTTATACCTGTAACTACCCAGGAAAACATACTACCTACTTTTTGAACAAAGCCTAGATACTGTGACTACTGTCACAGAATCTTCAGGTTTAACAGGCTTGTACAATCTAAATGGAGAACAAAGTGCTCTCTAAGAAAAAGTTCCCAAGTGCTCACTTTAAAAATGCTTCCATTTCCAGGCTTCCAGACTGTCATTACTATAGCGTGCCCTGGATCACACAAACACTTTCTTCTGAATACATTTCCCACTCACCTCTCTCCGAATTTTAAAGACTAGGCGTCAAAGTTCTGTTTCTGACACATACTATCTGCATGACCACAGGCAAGTCAATAACCACTCCCCGTGCTGTACAATTCTCTAAAATCATAAATGGCAGGCTGCATTTCGTGGAAGGAGTTTCCATACTGGAAACCCCCTATACTGATGAAATGACAGGTCAGAAACAAAATTTAAAATGAACCTACTGTTTATCCAATATATCCACATACAATTCTCATGAAGACTCAACATATCCAGATTGGCCTCCTGATCCACCTGAACCTTACGTGACATTCATCCAACAACCAACTCAATTTTAATGCCAAATTAAATAAAGCAGCAATCTCACTTAGATTGTGTGCGGGTCAGATCACATCTAGAATGCTTTGCTCAGATGACTGGCTCCCCAATGGCAAAGAATATGTCATTGATTTCGTGCTTTGTTGAACACTGTGAAGACGGCACATAATCAATAAATGTTTTTCTTAAGTGACAACAGAATTCCAAATGCCACATTTCAAGCTGAATCTGACAGACTAAAAGGTATTCAGAGGAAAGTGACCATTCTGGTGGAAGTTCTATACCCTATATATCAGGAGGAAGACTAGACAGGAAACTTGATAGCTAGAAGAAGAGCTATCATGTGGACACGGTCCCATGAGCAGAACCATAACAAGCAGGTAAAAGTTGTGGGAAGGCAGATTTCAGTTCAATGCAAAAGAAGGCTTCAACAATCAGAGCCATCTAAATAGAAGATGTTGCCTTATAAGCTAATGATTACTCAGCCACTAGAAGTAATCAAGCTTACAATGACCATTTATCATATGTATCTACAATATCAATTTCTATTTAGTGGGAGCTTATATTAAATCATCTCTAAGGTCCTTTCTAACTATGAAATTATTTAATTTTAATGACTAGAATAACAGAAAGGCTCCAGAAAAATCAGAAATAGGTCAATATCCCAATGCAGCAGGGTAGATTATCAGTGGGTTTTGATGATCCCTATGTATTATAGATAATGGAAAGATAGTACAATGAAGTGGATAAAGTACGAGACCTGGAGTCAGAAAAACTTGGGTTCAAATCCAGTCTCAGACACTTACTAACTATGTGACTCTAGGGAAGAGACTTAACTTCTCTGGGCCTCAGTTTCCTCATCTATAAAATGAGGAGGATGGACTTAATGACTTTTAAGGGCGCTTTCTGGTCTAAATTTATGATCCTATAATTTGACTATCACTAGTTATAGGTACCACTTTATATGGCATTGTAAGACATTTTAAGAGTTGACCATAGGCTCTAGGCAACTCATTCTAACAATATATATTGCAGAGACAGTACTGACTTACATTGGTAAAGAGATTCTGCTCTCCAGGGAGCTCCCTAGGTATGTGAAATCACAGGTCTAGCCCCTACTGCATTCCTCCCATAGGAAATTATACCCCCCAAAAAAAATCATCTATAACCTCCCACAAGAGCAGCTCCACATGGTAGTGCCAGCCATCTGGCCATCATGCTTAGCACACTGCAACCTGGGATTCTACCACTGGAATGCCAAGGACAAATGACTGAACTACTACCCTACCAACTTCACTCCAAACCACGCTCTTCAACCTTCCCAGACTCCTTCCATGTATTATCATCCCCCATTAGAAAGCAAACTCCATCATTATCAATCATGGTCATCATCACTAGCATTTATACGGCACTTTAAGGTTTACAAAGTGCTTTGCATATGTTCTCATTTGACCCTGTGAAGAAGGCACTTATCTATAACTTACCGATAAGAACATTGAAGCTGAAAAAAGGTAAGCGACCTTCCTCCTCATCTGGTGGGGACACGAAAACCTTCTAGTTCCCTCTCTGCCTCAAATCTCTACCTAGGGCCGTCTAGCCTACACACTGCTGCTAAAATTATTTTCCTTAAGGGCAGATCTGACTATATCATTACTCTGCTCAACTGATTCTAGTGGCTTTCCTACTGCCTCTAGGATAAAATATAAACTCCTCTGTCCAGAAGACCTCTGTTAAAGCCCTTCACAACCTGGTCACAGTGTATTTTTCCAGCCTCACTAGACATTTTTCTTCCTTCCCCCCCCATCTGCAATTAAGCCAAATTAACCTTTTTCACTTTGCTTTCTCTTGGATCTCCTCATACCTATGTAACCATACCTTTTCAGTCTCCCTTACAAACTCAGCACATCTGAAACTAACTCATTATCTTCACCTCCCCATCACTCAATCTACCCCTCTTCTAAACTTCCCTATTGCTGTCAAGGATCCCACCATCCTCCCAGATCCACAGAGTCATCCTCAACTCTTCACTCTCACTCACCCTACATATCTGAACAGTTTCCAAATCTTGTTATTTCCTTAACCACTGCATCTTTCAAATGCACTGCCTTTTAACCATTCACACAGCCATTGCCCTGGTCCAGAACTCTATCATTTCTGGCCTCCTAACTGTTCTCCCTGCCTCTGGCTTCTCCCCACTCCATTCCATCCTCCATTCAGCTGCCAAAGTGATTTTCCCAAAACACAAAACTAGTCTACATGAATCTTGTATGTGCCTATTTCTGCATACGATGTCTTCCCCATCAGAATATGAGAGCAGGGATTTCTTCTTTTTGTCTGCATCCCCAGCACCTGGCATACAATAAGTATTTAATAAATATTCAGTGAAGAATTGATCATCATGTATTATAATTACCTATGTTTGTATATTACTAGATTATAAACTCTAGGAGGGAAGGAACTTTATCATATGTAAAATCTGTAACTCAATCAGTTTACAGCAAAATGTAGGCACTTTACTTGAACTGAATTTATGGAATGTTAAGTGCTGGCTTAGATACAAAACAATCTGTTCTAATGGAATTAAGAGTCTAGAATAAATTCAGAATCTAGAACTCATTATTCTCCTCACTGTTACCCCCAAACAACTGTTTATTTTCAAAATGGCATATTTTATGTTAGTCTTCAAATTTGGTAATAACAGAATGAAATAAATTCCTCTGTATTTGTAATCCTCTACTAATGTTCTTCTTCCAGTGCTGCCCAGTGATATACTATAGAGCTGTACTTGGAAGGTCTAAGGTTAAGTTCAAAGAAACTTATCACTAGGTTGCCTGAAGGGTGATGAACTTCCCACCACAGCAACATTCAAAAACTACTAAGTCACCATTG